CCAGGGGGGGGGGGGGGGGGAAGCGGGGCGACTGCCCTGGGTGCCAAAGCAGTGCCAACAGGCACTGGCCAGCCAGGGCAGGGCACACAACAGAGCTGCAAGCAGCTCATCGGGTGGGGCGCAGGGATGGGGGGAGAGTGGCTCCCGCCACTGCACACACTCCTGAGCAAGCATGGGAAGAGCATGTACCCCCTCAGATCTGTGTGCAGTGCAAGGGCAGGCTGCCATTGCAGGCTTTGCCTGCACGGGGGTGCACATGGGTGCACGTGCACTCTGTGAGATCAGCCGTGCGCACCCTGGAAGCACCAGCCGCAAAACCAGAAGTGCCACTGGAAGTGCACTTTTTCACTGCTGACTCAGTGATCAGCCGCTGGGGGATCCCCCAGACTCAGGAGGCACTAGTCGCCCATGCACTGCAGCTCTTAGCGGAAATGTAATTCCTGGATAATACTGCTAATCAACAAGCTAAAAATAGCTTATTGTTATTAATTAGAAGCCTCAGCCTCCTCTGGAGTCCTGTTTTACTGCAATAAAAATTGCAAGAGAGTCTCTGCCCCAAGGATGCTGCAATCCAACTACCCAAGAAGAATGAAAAGGGATTACTTTCATCATCTTCATAAGAAAATTGAAGTACAGAGAGATAAAGGCTGAGGTTCAGAGTCACTAAGGGATATGAAATCCAGTTGGAACTTAAAAGGAATTGAACACGTAAGGATTTTACAATATTAAGTGCACAACCCTTCTGGGTTTACTTATGTATATATAAAAACCAACAGCACCTAGTGTGTTATATTTAGTATTAAATTTTCCAGAGTTACTAATAGTGAATAAAAGAAAGTCTAACACAATCTTTTTACTACAATGAAAAATGGCTAGCAAACAGTAAATAAAAACCTTGCAAAGGAAACATTAAAACTCACAGTATATATACACACATTAAATTGCTCCTCCATGGTAAATAAGCTGAAAACCAGCTTGGACTGTCCCTGAGAACTACTTTTATTCTGAGTCCATAAAAGGGAAATGGAAAAGGAAAAAAAGGGAAAAAATAGCTGCTCCTGGACACCTGTACTCTGTTTCAAACCTTAATACTGCTCCATTCTTGAAACTTGTGCCTGAAACTCTGGCTTATGCAGAATCCACTACCCTCTTCCTGGGGCTGTTCAACCTCTGAAAACTGCTTTCAGAACAGATTGAATCCACATCATCTGGAGCCTCTGGCTGGATCCAGTGCTGTTGTGTTGTATTTCTTTTTTTTTTCAGTAAGCCTTTAGAGCAGGATGCATACTTCTCTAGTTAAGAGAAAAGTTATTAAAATTCCCCTCAACCTCTTTCAGTTGCTGGACACTGGGCAGATTTGTTTCCCTGCTGCCAGCAGGAGTCAGAGCTCCCCAAGCCCTGATCAGTTGGTGGGCTTTTTCCTTTTTAAGAGGACAGTCCATTTCAGCCAACCAGGCCCTGCCCCTCTTCACCAAAAGTTCTCACAGATCACTCCCCTCTGGGTCCAGGTCCTACACACTCTCAAACCTGGTTGCTAACGTAATGTTTACTCGCCTGGACCTCAGTGTCACTGCCACCATGGCTGCCAGCCACCATCATTTCTTCACTGAGTATGCTCAAGAGCAGGGGTCAGCAATGCTTTTGGGCAGAGTGCCAAAAATGCACCAACCTGGTCATGTAACATGTTGGTATGCTAGGGGTGACTGGCTGGGGGAGCCACGAGAGGCCCAATCCTTGTTGTGGCAGTGTAGCCCTGGCCCCTTCCCTGCCATCCACCCCAAAGCATGCGTACCAAGCAAAATGCCATGCTCTGCCATGTGCTGGGGGTTGCTGACCCCTGCTCAAGAGGGTTTCACTGACTTTCCCAAAATGGATACATTTTGAAAAGTTCCTTCAAGGGGGTTATAAATGCGCCCTGCCAGATGAGGAGCTGGCTAGGGTGAGATTTGAAAAACCTTATCCTAACCTACTTGCCCACATAGATTGCACACAAAATCTGTGGTAGAGCTGAGAACTGAGTCCACATCTCCTGAGTTCCAGTCTAATATGTTAATCATAAAACCATATACCCTGATACTGAGAAAAATCTCATGAGTAGCGGGAGCAGATATAACTGCCATCTCTTCCAGGTAATTTTTTCCAGTGCATTAGCCTAACTACTGTCTGGTCTGATGAGTTTCAGACACCTTGTTCTTACTAAAGCCTTTTATTTGGTCAGGCACTGGGAAAGCCAACCATCTGGCTTGAAAGAAAATGAGATGTAGAAATGATTGACACAGCCAGGAATTGCACCAGATCTGATTTTCAATATGATATTATCCACAAGTTGCCTGCACTCAGAAGTGAAATAATGTAGCTAGCAACAGTGAGCGTTTTGATTGTGGTTTGTTGGCATTTTATGGGCCTTACCTTGTAAATCCTCACCTGGGCAAAATTCCATTAAGAGTCTGCAGGAGTTTTGCAAAAATAAAGACAAAAGGATCTGGCACAACAGAATTACATGGTTTCAGGGGTGGATCCAAAGGGGGTGCATTGGTGCAGTCACACCTCCCTTTTGAACCACACTGCAGGAGCATCAACTGGGGACTCCCCAAAACAGATAAGATCCCCCTTCTCCACTCTCAATACCCCCTCTTCCCCTCCATTCTCATCAGCATTTCTCCTTCCCTTTGATCACTCCCTTCCCCTGCCCATCACTGCTGCTGACCCTAGCTTTGGGGGAAACTCCAGAGCTGCTCTTGACCTGCTCCAACCAGGCTGTGAGGGAAATTGGATTTAACTGGGGACAGCAACAGTAGGCAGGTTTCCAGTTTCCTTTATAGTCTCTCAGGTGTTCCTCACCAGCCCAGGACCAGTCTTAGGAGAAGGGACCCTGCCCATCACTGCTTCTGGAGCAGGGCAGGAGCAGTCAGGATAGTGGTGGCAGCAGATTGATATCTGACCCCTTCCTTTGCCCAGAAGCATAAGTATAGAGGGTGAGAGGGGGAATGGGAAGAGACGCAGATGCTACTAAGCATGGAGAGGAAGCGAAGGGGTGCTGAGTGAAAGAGGTTTTTGCCTAATTTGGGAACTTTAAAAAGAGTCCCCAGCTGCTACTCCATGGTGTGGTCTACTGCCTTAAGAGGTAGGGTACCCCACTGCAATATTGTTTGCTGCTCCCACAGCCCCTCTTTTGAAATCCTGGATCCTGTGCATGGTTGGTGAGCATTATGATGGAGCTGGAGTAATAGCAGAATAACACTTTTGTAAACTGCTTATACTGCTTTAGCTTTTTACTGTCATTTCAGCAGAACACTCCTTTCTTAGGGAAATGTATATATTAAATAAAATCAATTAAGAACCATGGATCAGTGATTATTCAATAGTGTTCACATAAAAACAACTTCTCTTCATTTCTCAGTGATGAGGCATTGCACACAGCTTGCATTTCTAATTACATGCAGTCCGTAGAAGCTAAAACAGTGATTGCTAAAATATGTGCTAAATGGGCAGACTTCTGTTCATTTTCCATGCTAAGTAGGAACCATAATATTGTTCTAGTATTTTAAAATATGTGTTTTGTTATGAAGACTAAATAAAAAGTCAAATATTTTTCAGTGTTTGCTGCTGTGGTGTTTTCTAAATCGGACAACAAATTCAGAATTGTCAATATAGTTATTTCTTTATACAAAATCTCCTATAGTTGGAGCTATTGTCATATTGAACAATTTCAAAAGTGTCCTTATATTATAAAATATTTGAATTATTTTTAATGTATCAGAAACCAAAGTTTAGTATTCCAAAAAAATTGAAATTTCAAAGTAGATTTTTCCTGTCTTTCAGAGAGAGCCATAATTATTTGCACAGGGTTTAATCCCATTTCAGATGTTTCATTCATATTTTGTTCCCTTGCTATAAGGATATATAAAAAGTGAGTAACTGTTTTGTCAATTGGGACCATGATTAAAATGCAAACAGTAAATATGACTTGAGGTCTGGAATCGGATTATAGGATTAAAATGAATGAAAAACTGCTGTGTAGTAGGATTGCAAAATTCCAATCAATACCATCCTTTGATATTTTTTTGAAGAGAAATGTTGGAAGTGAAGAAATGAGGCAAAGAAACCACATCTTGAGGTTGGTTTTAGTGCTCCTTTAATTTCTTGATTTTATGTCACTTACTCAGAATGTTACATTTAGATAGTTATAATGTCAGTAGGTTCCCATCACTTGCATATATTTAGGAATTTATATTTACATTGTATTTGCTCTGCTGTTCCATATTTTTGAGTTTATCATTCTCTATGGGCCATCCACAGATAAGTAAAGTTTTAGCGAGTGTAAAAAGGTTCAGGAGTATAAATAATGCGCACACAGTGAGAGATTAAACAACATGTTTGTGGTTCAGTGTAGTGCTACTGCTGAATGTATGGCACTTTCAACCACTTGAGAAGACAGTTGTTTCTGACCATAATGACACTTTGAAAAGGCTGGTTTTGTAAAATGCTAGTGATGTAAGGTTCTTGTTACCTTTTTAAATAAAGATGGGGCTGCTGAAAAAAGTTACTAGGTAGTTTAGTTTAAATGCATAACAGATGCAGAATAAAATTTTCTGAACAGTACAGTGTAGAGCTCACTGTTCAGAAGGAGGGACGCTAAGGCTTTAAGTCAAATTTGCACCCTTCCAGGTCTGGACTTAAGTCCTGGTAGGTTGCCCTTGATGATCTCTGGCTAGCACCATTGCTCAGAATGGATTTCAGCTTCTCTGATTGCCACATCTTTTATGCCAGGGTTTGGGCATGGTTCTACAGAAAACCGCATGAAGCTGTCATCCTCACTTCCTGCATCAGGAGGAGTTTCCTCCAGGCAGAGCCAGGATTTTGTAGCTTGAACCCTCTTACCTTAAGCAAAGTGCCATAGTGGGGTGAGCATTGTAAGCAGTGTTGTTTCAAACACTTTTTCAGGGATGGTTTTGCTAATTTCAGTAGCAGCAAGTGGATTTTCCAACTGTTTGCAGCTTCAGGAATCCAAAAGAACCTAGTCTTGAAGGATTTGTGTTTTTTGTTTGCTTGTTGCTTTCATTGGCTGGTTGGTTGTTTTTTTCCTGCCATCTGTGTATTGTCAGTCACGTGACCATGTTTCAAAATTAAGGGTAGATTTTCAAATCAGCTAGTGATTTGGGGTGTCTAATATGGCATACCTAAAAAAGACTTTATTTTCAAAAAGTACATGTGCTCATCACTTTCTGAAACTCAGGCCCCTTTAAGCTACGTCAAACTCAGCTGTCGAAAGCCAAGCACACACAGCCACTAGCCATTTTTATAATCTTGGCCCACCATTCAAGTCAATTTTGTGAGACACCTAGGACATGTGCTGGGGACAAGGTTATGCCTACTCTGCATATGAAATCCTCTAAAATAGCCGTAATGTACTACCTTAGTGCAATGCTGAGCATGCATCAATAAACTCCCTCCCTCCAAAAGGAATTGGCATGTGACCAGCACCACCCTAAAGATGCTACATTGCAATCATTTTAGGTGATAGTGTGGGCAGAGCAGGCATGCTGTGTTTCACTGCAGGGAACTCAGCAATGAGGTAGGGTGGACCTGCCTCTAGAGGCATTTGGCTTTTGGGGGGTCTATAAATAAAAAAACCCTTATTGTTAGAGATAACAGCATAGGAAAGAAGTTAGCATATCTTCCTTAGATTAAAGAGAGCCTCCAGCACTCATTTTTCTCCAGTCAGTGAAATCTGGGCATACTCAGAGCCAAGACTGGAAGGAAGAGAAGACGCAGGGTCTAACCACAGTACTGCAAACCTGTCTGTATGAAGTGCCACTGTCTGTACACCACTGTTCAGGTCAAGGACATGAGCAGTAAGAAAACCCTCAGGGAAGCTATGGTGGAGAAAAGTGCACAGGGTACAAGAATAAAATACAGCATGAAATCTTAGAAACAAGAACATACAATGTCTACGAATGGTTTACATTTTGATTCAAGAAAAATACTTGTTTGACCTTATACTTGTGACAAAGACTCAAATGTGTGTTTTCTTCCCCATTTGCTTGTTTTAATTCCCTTTGAAAGCCCTGCATAGAGCAGCACCTATCATCACAATGCAGTCCTGATTAGCCATAAGGGCATAGGGGCACTCTCAAAATAGAAGCAAAATAAGGGTTGTTTTAAAGCTTGGGGTTAAAACAGTATTAAAAATGGAAGTCATAATTTTAATATGTCATATATAACATGTAAACTCTTGTGTGTGATAGTCTAGCTGGTACTGCTTGGCACATCTTTTGCATTAGGTTGCTGTGATTCATCTTTTCTTTTGTTTCAGAGAGTCGTATGATTCTGGATGCCTTTGCCCAACAATGCAGCCGGGTTCTTAGTCTTTTAAATTGCGGTGGAAAACTGATGGACAGCAATCACTCTCAGTCCATGATTTCTTACATAAAGCAGGAAAGCACAAGTTATAGTGAAAGACAAGAGCAGTGTCAGCTTGGGAAACTTGTCCATAGTCAGACACCAGACAATTTAGACATAGAGATGCAGTATATGCAAAAGAAACAACAAACCTCAGCCTTTCTGAGGGTTTTTACTGATTCTCTCCAGAACTATTTGCTTTCTGGGAGCTTTCCATCTCAGAACACCTCATCAGTAAATGATTTTGGCCATTTGGCAGATGTGGATCCACTTTCAACTTCTCCAGTACACACTTTAGGTGGATGGACCTCCCCAGCAACCTCTGAATCCCATGGACATCCGTCATCTTCCACACTTCCAGAGGAGGAAGAGGAGGAGGAGGAGGAAGGGTACTGTCCCCGATGTCAAGAGCTAGAACAGGAGGTAATTTCACTGCAACAAGAAAATGAGGAACTCCGAAGAAAACTGGAGAGCATTCCAGGTAAATAAGCCATTTAACATTACATCTTAGTATCAAATTTAATGTGTGTTATATTTGGTAGCAAGATTATAGTATTAAAGCTAACTTTAAAAGTATATATTAAGAGGTGTCATTGGCATTCACCCAAACAGAGGGACATAACATAAAGCTTTTACCCAAATCTCCTATAACTGCCCCTAATAAAATACAGATACAAATTTATAAAAATCGCAAGACCTTGATAAATGTACATTCAGGATTGTACATTCAGGATGAGATATATTGTCAAAACTCAGTCTGCTTGATTTTGGGACACTGAAGTCATTATGTGCAGGTTGTCATAATACTTTAAAATACATTCTTTGATATTTAAATGTCATATTTAATGTGGCATTTATATATAAATTGTCAGTCTACGAGTATTTCCTTTTTGCTTTAAAATCACTTATGGAAAGGATGGAGACGTGACCATCCCTTTAACAAGATGGATATGATGTTTATAATGGCTTTATCCTCCTAAAATGTCTCTCAGATCAACAAAAAGCTTGAACATTTCTCCACCCATCTCCAGGTAAAACCTGAGGAAAAGAGTGGCAGTCAACATGGTTGAGCTGTGTCTGATGAAGCGGGAGATCAAGCAGGTGGAGGATATTATCCACCTTGAAAAAAACTCCTCAGACTCCACACCCTTTTAAACCTGGAGCCATTAGAAGTTGAGATTAACTGAAGGGCTGCTTGCAGACATTAAAAAACCCCTCCAAAAATAACTCTACTTTAAACTTGGATCATTCCTGCACTGAGCCCCGCACATACTCAGAAAAGGTGGTGAGTTACTTCAACTTAGCTCTGCAATGTCTGTAAAGATCTGGCACTTTAGTAGGGCTTTTTTGGTGCTTTTATTGGATAGCTGCTTGAATTAGCTTTAGCTAAAAGTGCCAAGAAGCCCTGCTGAAGTGCCTGATCTATTCTTCAACCTAGCTCTGCAGCATCTACAACACACTGCTTCTTCTGGTAAAGTGTGGGGTTTTTTGGTTTTTTGTTTGTTTAGCATCTGCAAGCAGCCAAGGTGTTTCAGCTCTGGTCTCAAATGAGAACAAAGGAGGTTTGTAAAGTATTCTAAACCTAAGCCTTATGAGGAAAGACTAATGGATGTGGGACTGCTCAGCCTGGAGAAGAGAAGACTGAGGGGGTACTTGGTGGCCATCTATAAGTATGTAAAGGGTGAATATTGGGAGCTGGGAGAAAAACTGTTCACTAGGGCGCCCAAGGGGAAGATAAGGAGCAATGGCCATAAATGGTTAGAGGATGGTTTCAGGTTGGAGGTAAAGAAGAACTTTTTTACGGTGAGGGTGACCAGAATCTGGAATAGACTTCCTAAGGGGGTGGTGCAGTCCCCAACTTTGGAAGTCTTCAAGAGGAGACTGGACAGACACCTTGCTGGGATCATTTGATCTCAGCAGTATTCCTGCCAAGAGCTCAGGGACTGGACTCGATGATCTCTCGAGGTCCCTTCCAGCCCTTAATTTCTATAATGCTATGATTCGAAACCCATTAGATTTTAAATACAGGTGGAAGTACAATACTTTGGATTGTCCCGCTGATAAAATAGAAAACAGTAAAGACTATACAATACATACTTGTTTTTGAGACTTCTTTGAACAGAGACCCACACAAAGCTCATGGCAGTAATCAATAAAAGGGGTGAGAAAGGCATGAGTGGGGGCTGCATCTGAGAAAAAATACTACCAACCTTCTACTCAAGCACAGATGAAAAAAAGTCTTTTGGCACTAGCTGTTATCTGAATATCTACTTGAAGATCCAAAATGTGAATAAAAAGCAATATGAGGAGCAGATATACATTTCTTCAACTCATTCCACCTCTCTGTTTACTGATGACTTCGTACCTCACATGGAACAATTGGAGTGATACGTAAAACCCTGTGGTACCCAGAGTTAGATCATAGTCTCATAGAATTTAACACCAAAAGAATATTGGAGTCAGATCTAGCCTGTACATCATAGGCAACTAACTTTCACCGAGTTATTTCTCTGTTAGACTCAATAACTTTTCTGCGCTACCTCCTCTCTGACAAAAGTTTTGCAAAACTTGTTTGCCTAAAGCTTTTCTTTCAGAAAGGCATCTAGTCTTAATCTGAAGTCTTAAGAAGATGGAGAATCCAACACTTAGTAGGTTGTTCCAGTCGTTAATCACTTCCACTGTTAAAAATTTTTGCCTGATTTCTAGTTTGAAGGTCTTGCTTCAGCTTCTAGCCATTGGTTCTTGTGATGTCTTGCTGCACACAATTAAAAATGCTGTTTAGTACCCAGCATTTCTTCACTGACAAGATAAATAAACAATACATTTCTCTCTATAGATGTTTCCTCTAGCAGCTGAATCATCAGCCTGTGTCTTCCTGTAGCACAATGTGGGGATTGTATAGGAGGAGTGTTCTGCTATGTGCTTGGATTGAGCAGTAGAATCCAGCCTGAGCAACACACTGTCTCTTGGGATGAGGGGAGCAAAAGACCCTGAGATATTGGAGGGCTATGCTGTGAGTTCTCTTCAAAGGGAACATGTACAGACATTTGCTCTCCGATTAGAAACTCTCTCAGGAGCAATTTAACCTTGGTTGTTCCTGGGTTATTTTTCTCCCAGAGCTACCAGTTATGCCAGGTGGGGACAAAATGGCAGATCTGGGCAGCAGTGGACTCCATTTCCCAGCAGCCCCCAACAGCAGCTGCACTGTAATAGTGCAAGGCCAGAGTTTCCATGGAGACCAGACCTAGAGCTCTGGCAGAGTGCACAGCAGGGCTGGGATCTCGCAGTGGTGATAACATGGTCCAGAGCCAGGGCAGAACTGCAATCTACAGCCAGCGGATTGCAGCTCTGCCCCAGCTCCTTGCAGCAGTGCCAGCATCGTCCAGAGCTGGGGCAGTGCCATGATCCACTACCTGCACACCCCTTCCTGGGGTACACTGTCACTGCTACAAGATCCAAGCCCAGCTCCGGAGCAGCTCCCAGCCCTGCTGCACGTCGTGTCAGCAGAGGCAACACTAGGAGGGGGTTTGGGGCTGTAGCCATTCCAAAATTCCCTGTAGCCCCCCCATAGCCACATCTCCCAGCAGTGTCACTGCTGCCACCGCTGCCCACCCTGCACAAATGGCGGTAGCTGAATCCACCCTGCTCCCACCTACAGCACAGCCCCCCCTCAACATCTCCCACCAGGAAGAAGTTGGTGCTGCTGCTGCCTGCCAGCACTGCAGGGGCTGATCTCCATGGAAACCCTGGCCCTGCACTGTCCAGCACAGATGCTGCTGGGGTATCCATGGAAACTGGCCCCAGCCACACAGGGGCTGCTGGGAAATAGAGTGCACTGCGGGGCTGGACTTTGCCTGCCTCTGGTTACTGCTGTAGGAGAAAAATTCTGAACACCTGTACACTTTTGGTTTCTCCTGGGAGAGCAGTGTGACCTTCCCAGGAGAAACTGAATGTCTCTACATGGCCTTAGTAGGAGCTTATTTTCAGTTGCTTGTTCATTTTGACTCTTGAGTCCTTTTTACTGTTGCTGCTTTCTAGGCTAGAAAGCTGAAACTATACGTTGCGTTCTGTATGCATTTTTCATAGACACCATAAGTTTGCATTCGGCAGAAGTATTTTGTTTGACAGAACCCAGGTTAAGCAATTCAGAGTGTTTTGACTGCCCTGTTCTCTTCATTATTTACCATTAATTTTTGCATCATCTATGAATCTTATCAGAGATATATGTTTCCCTCCAGATTACTAGAAAAACAGTAAGTACCATTGAGGTAGTACCAATCTAAGTAGAACCTCATTAAAAATGTTCTCATTCATGTTGATTCCTTATTTGAGATCTGCCTGTTAGCCAATTCTTAATCTATATAATATGCTCTGTTGATAGTGTATATTGCTATGTTTTTAATCAAAATGTCACTTAGTAGTAAGTTGAATACTTTGCATTAGTCTGTATTACATCCATGGAGTTACCTTTATCAACCAAACTTGTAATCTCATCAAAGAATGAAATCAAGTTTGTTTGACAAGCTCTACTTTCCAAAAATCATTTTGACTGGCATTAATTATATTCCTATCCTTTAATTCTTTGTCAGTTGAATCTCTTTGTCAGCTTTTCCATTATTGTGCCCAAGATTGATGTCTGGCTGAGCAGTCTATATTTATCTGGGTCATTCCATTTGCCCTTCGTTTCATTTTTAGAGGAGAGTGGAGTCACCTGAATGTCATTCTCTCTACCCCTACAGATAAAAAAAAAATCCCTTCAATGGTATATTCAAAGCAACTGAAAAATACAGACTGAATTTTCACAAATGCAAGTCATGTATTTATCAGTAGATTATCTTCAACTAATGCAACTTGATGCTGTCTACATAATATATATAGGTCCACAGCCAACCTGGCAGCAGGTCAGGAAAATCTGAGGATTTAGGTGTTTGCCACAGTTGCCTTGCTCCTAACTAGGACACGGGTCTAGGATGGAACCGAAACTCCCCAGTTGGTTCCAAAAGCACCAAGGAGTGAATATGCTTAAAAAACAAGCTAGGGGGAGGTCTGCAGTTCTGGCTCATAGCCTGACTTTGGTCACACATTCTCGTCCAGCACTAAAAAGTAGTTACATTTTCCATGACATAAAACACTCTGAGCTGACATGCATTTGCAGATAAAGGGTTCAGAATGTTACTGAGGGTTCCAGAAAATCTCACCCTAAGATTTTAATAATTCTTTTCACAATCTGACATGTAATATCTCCCCTCCCTTGTGCAAACACTTTCCTCCCTTCTGTTTAAAATTCTGCAGGCTGTCTGTATGCCATGGCAAGCAATGAGAGAGATCCAGGTGAAAAGAGGATTTAGGGGCCTCTTTGGTAGAGGAAGGCTATTCTTAGGTCCTGTCAGCCCATTGGAAAAGTGATTGTTTGACTAAGGGGTTTTCTCCTTCAGTGCTGCACAGAACTGAAGCAGTTCTATTAGCCTCTAAGGCATGGGA